CCCCCCCCCCGCGCGCGCGGGACGAAAAGATGTTCCATTCCTGGTGCTGGTACGGTAAACGTGCGGTTGAAGGGTGAAACGCTGGTACGGTAAACATGCCGCAGAAGGGTGAAGAACACGCGACGGTTGGTGATGTCCTGGCGTGGAGCATGAACTGCGGTGCCCCCTCCTCCTCCTCCGCCGCCGCAGCCGCCGCACAGAAGAGGCTCGAATGGTCGCATGTGACAATAAGGTACCACAGTCAGCAATTGAGCCCCCATGTGTGTCCCCCACCCTAATCCTCGTCCACGTTTTCTGTTGCTTGATTTCATGGGGGGGGGTGCAGGCCCCAACCAGGGGACTCCGATTACGTCCGACCCGCCGACCCCTACAAGAGGCAACGGCTAGTCGAAGATCCGCGGTCTCACGGCGGGCATCCGTACGGCGGTGAGCGGGGGAACTATCAAGCTATACCGTAGAGGCGTTAGCTTTTGTGCGGACTGCCATCGTGTGTGAACACGGACAAAGCTTGATTTGTTTGCGAAGGCAGTCCCCAGCGCGCTGTTTATGTCTTCGGTGCTGCACCCTACATAGCCGAACCAACTGAGGAACGTACTCTGGAAGGGTCCCAGCGGAACACCGATACTACGGCTTTACTCGGCGTCTCTTGTCTTGCGGTCTCTGCTGCCGTTTGTTCCAATCCATCATGTGGCTTCTTTTCTTTTTGGTCAGGCATGGCCACCGCCGCTAGGTGGAGTGGTGCCGCTGCCCAGGGGCACATCCCATTCAGAGACTTCCAGGAGGAGCACCGACAGGTGCGTAGACTGCAGCAGGGGGGTGTCAATAACAACGCCCCGCTGGACAAGCGCCGATGGTTCTATACAGCGCCGGTCAAATTGCCGGGCACAGACTGAATCACCAAGTTATTCTGCACGTTAAATAGCGCCGGTCCTTCTGAAGAGCGTCGGTCGATGCGCCGGGCACGTACCGGCGTTGTTCAGGGACGCCCACTGTCCGATGCATACGATGGAAGAGGGGTGACCAAGTATGCACACACGCACAGCAGTGTATTTTTCTTTAGTATAAGACATGTACGCGACCAATACATATACGTAACAACCTGAGGTTGCTACGTTTTTCTTATACTTCCTGAAGTACCTTGAGAGAGCCAACCCGTTCGAGATATAGCCACAGCAGTCGGAGGGAAGGGATGGGTTGGAGCTTTGTTTTATCTGTGACAAGAGCATGTGGGGAAAAGATAGCTTGTAGAGGGATCAGGACTCCCGTTGTGTGGCTACACAAATGAACGACACTAGCGCGTGCTCAAGAACTTGAGCCTCAATCAGACAACCAAAGAGAGTATATGAAGTTTGACCTGCAATGTGTATGAACAGGCGCTCAGTTCTGACTCCCATGCCAGGGTTGCTTCCTCACAGAGTATGTAAGAAATGAGCCTCTTGGGGGCAAACTAAAGAGGTTTGTCAAGTGGAGGCGCCTTCTGCACGCGTCCAACAGGCGTGGGTACTGCTGTTGGGCTCGAACTGTAACGCAGCGAGCAGAGGCTAGACCGCAAATATATCAGGTAACGGAGGTCCTCTGCCGCTGTTGCCACCTCCTACTTCCCTCTTGGTTGTTGTTGTTGTTCTTGCTCCGCCCGTTTGTTCCCCTTCTCGTTGCCCCATTGTTGTTTTTTGCTCCCCTCGTTTCTTCCACGTTCTTGTTGTCCGACTCGTTCCGACCTTGTTTTGGTTGGTTCCTTTTTTCCCGTTTGTTCCGCTTCACTGCGTTTCGATGAAACTGCTTGCGGGCTTGCGGGCGGGGGGGGGGGGCTTCGCGAAATGGCAATTTGTTTCGGGGGGAATCAAGGCCGCGCTGGCTTCAAATCCCTTCGCCAGCGCGGCAAAGGGCAAGAGGCCCTCTGACCCGGCCGCTGCGGAGAAGCAGAAAAAGCTCGCGAGCATATTCTCCCCTCCTACCGACATCATGTTTATGGGGGATTTCCAGGCCGCCCGTCAGGTGTGTGCGGTTTTTGCCGAGGTTTCGGTTGGTACGCTGGCGTGGGGGCGTTTGCTGCTGGTGTTGGCGTTGTTGTAGTTGCCGTTGTTCTTGAAGCCGAATGTATCGTTTGCTGCTCGTGTTGTGTTGTGGTAGGTTTGCCGATGGATTGCTGTTTTCGATAACCAACTAACTGTCTTTCTGTTATTGGTCACCAAGTGTTAGCACCATTGCCATTGCCGGTGATGATGATGATGCTAACGTAATTCCGCCGATCGATGCTGTTTCGATGGTGCTCGGCCGTATTCTCGTTCGTTGTTTGTCGTTGCATGCCAACCGAAACTCAGGCGGCGAAGCAGCAGAAGAAGTGGCTGCTGGTAAACATCCAGACGGAGGCCGAGTTCGACTGCCACCGGCTGAACAGGGACGTGTGGAAGGATGAGATGATCCAGAACATCATAGAGTGCAACTGCATATTCTGGCAGGTGACAACTTGAGGGCTGCCCACGCAGGACTTAAAGAGTATCAAGAAAAAGTGTGGGGAGGGGACACGCAGACCCTATCCCTATCCCTAACCCTAACCATTGAGCACGGATTGAATACTTCATCCCATATGTTTGCTTTTTCAATTTTGCTGCTTAAACTACTGAAACTTGAACGCTCGACTTTTTTTTGAAGGGGTTCATCCTAAAATCCGATTTACTCTCGTGCGCATTGGAGATGGATGCATAGTCTATATGGACGTCGAGCCTTCTCCATTTATCGTGTCTCTTTTGCCATTTTTGTTGTTCTACCCTCTGACGTGCCTCGTTGGCACGAACGCAGACGTTCTCCCATGAATGCTTGGTGTTGTTGGTTACTGTCTTATGTTCTGGTGGGTCGATTTTTTCCCATTAATGCTTGGTGTTGTTGGTTATCGTCTTCGTTCTGGTGGGTCGATTTCTTTTTGTGCACTTGTTTTTGGTTTGTCCCCTCGGTAAGAACAAATCATCAGCCAAGCTGGCGTGTTCACTGGCGGCGGATCGTCTACATGTCTACTGGCTGTCGGTCTTGTTTGTCTCTCTGTCTCTCTCCCTATCCGCCTGCGTCTCTCTCTCTGTATCGTGTCCATCTCTCTCTCTCTCTCTCTCTCTCTCTTTCTCTCTCTCCCTCTCTCTCTCTCCCTCTCTCTCTCTCCCTCTCTCTCTCTTTCTCTCTTAATATCTATCTCTATCTCTTCCTACAAGTCAACAGGAGACGAACACGGGTCCCACTTTCTCTTTACTCTGCCCGAAGACGATGTTTGTCTGAAAATGATGTTGTCCACCTCGTCCTGCTGTGTTTTGACGTCGCAGCAACCATCCATCTCCGAGGAGGCGAAGCTGTACTGCCGCCGTTACAACGCAACCGGGTTCCCACACATCGCCCTCATCGACCCACGCACGGGCATGAGGGTGTGGAATTTCCAGGGCTTTCTCGCACCGCCGGAGTTCATCGAGAAAGGTGAGTCCGTGTGACGAGCGTGCAACACAAAACATTGTGCGTGTGTGTGTGTTTTCTTGTTTTCGTCTGTTTGATTACCATGTACTCATGCTTGTTCATCGCCTTCGTGATGCATTTGGTTCTGTTTTCCCCTCCCTGCTGCCCTCTAGCCCCCCACCCCCGCTGTTGTCCGCTACACCACCAGCCTTGCACTCAATCATTCATGCAGTTGACACGCTCTCTTTTTTTGTGCATGCGTGCCGCGACTCGCCTCTCTCTGTTGTGGGTGCGTGTAGTCACTGACGTTACGGACAAGATTTCGTTCGAAGACGGGGCTCCGGAGAGGCTTCCTCCCCCCCCTCCTAGGCAACCGCAGGTATGTAGGGTTGTTGTTTTGTTCCCTATCCTGACTGACATTATTGGGAGGTCACGTAGGACGTCCCATGGGACGACCCATGAGTATGGCTCGTGGGACACGTGGGACGTCCCACTGCGACGTTCCTGGGGAATCCCACACGTTCCATAGCCGGACGGGTAGACGCACAGGTTGCAAGCAGGGACGATTTGGCAGTTTTTTCTCACCCATGGCCACGCATGACATTTAATGCGTGTTTCATATTTTAGCCTAGACGTGTCCCATGGGCGATGGCCGCCCATGGGACGTGTAGGACGGCCCATAGGATACGTGGGGGCGCCCATGAAATTGTGAGCCTTGCTGATTTGGAATGCACATGGGACACGCGGTAAGTGGAATGGCACGGCCCACGCAGATGGCTCATGTGACGCGTGGGATACCCCGGGCGTGACATTTTTGGGAGTCCACATGGGACGTACCATGGGACGCGTTGGACGTCCAATTGCTGTCCCATGGGACACGATGGGTGTCCGATGGGACACGTTGGACGCCGCATGGGACACGTTGGACGCCCAATGGGACACGTTGTACGTCCCATGGGACACGTTGGACGTCCCATGGGACATGTTGGACGTCCAACGTGCCCCCATGGGACAGCAGTTGGACGCCCCACGTTGGACAGTCATTGGACGTCCAGTAGGACACGCTGGACGTCCAACGGGACGCGTGAGACGTCCCATGGGACACGATGGACAGCGGTTTGACGTGAAGCGTTGGGCAGCCTTTGGACATTCAATGGGACACGTTGAACGTCCTATGGGACGTGTGCGACAGCCGACGTGTGCCTTTATATACCACCAACGCCCCACGGCGTCCCAAGCAAGGTCGTGCCCAGTCAGATGGTCACCGTCGGTGCTAGTACAGGCAGGGCCTTCCCATTTCCCCTACCGAGTTGGGACGTGGGACGCACGTGTAGCATGGTCGTTCCTCGCGTCCGACTGGACATCCCACGGTACATCTCACGCGTCGCATGGGACGGCCAGCGTGTCCCAATGGACGTCCAATGTGTCACGTGGGACGTCCATGGCTGTCCCATAGAACTCCCCACGTGTCGTATGGGACGTCCTTTGGGACAGCCATGGACGTCCAGTAGCGGTCCCATGCGATGGGACTGCAATTGGACGTCAAAGGACATGTTGGACGTCCATGGGACACGTGGGACGTCCCATGGGATACGTGGGACGTCCAACTGGACGCTTGGGACGTGTGGGATAGCCCACGTGTGCCTCAATGTATCACCAACGCCCCACGGCGTCCCAGGTATTGCCGTGCCCTGGCAGATGGGAACCCTCGGTGCTAGTATTTAGAAGGACCTACCCACTCCCCCTACGGAGGAGGGACGTGGGGCGCACGTGTAGCATGGTCGTTTTCCTCGCGTCCCATTGGACGTCCAAGAGCTGTCCAATGTGTCCCATGGGACGTCCAACGTGTCCTGCGGGCCCTCCAACGTGTCCCACGGGACCTCCGACGTGTCCCGTGGGACGTCCATGGCTGTCCTATGGGACACTACGCGGGACGGTCCTTGAGAGTAGCTTGGGACATCCCGCACGTCCCAACGGGTGATCCCACGCATCCCACCTGCATTGTCAAACGGCAACAACATAGCCTTGCCCATGCTCACGCATGGGACGGCCCACGGGACGCTTGAGACGGTTCATGGGACGTTGGGATGGCCCACGGGACGCGTGGGACGGTCCATGGGACTCGTGTTGTACGGTCCATGGAACGTGTGTCGTGGCCCACTGGACGTCGCATGGGACGTCCCATGCGTGTGGCTGCTGGGACGCGTAGGACGTCCCACTTGTCCCTAAGGGGCGCTCCACGCGTGCCATCAGCCAGGCAACCCCGCGCTTGTACAGAGATTGATAGGACGCCGGGACTATCATTGTTTTCTCACCCGGCATACATGCGACATTTCATACGCGTTTCGTGGGCATCCAATCCACGTCATGTGCCGTCCCACGCGTCCCACGAGCCGTCCCAAGCGCCCCATGTGCTGTTCCACGCGTCCCACGGACCGTCCCGGGCGTCCTATGTGCTGCCCCACGCGTCCCACGGACCGTCCCAAGCGTCCCATGGGCCGTCCCGTGCGTCCCATGAGCCGCCTCCCCGGGCCGTCCCACGAGTGGGACGCAAAGCGTCCCCATGTGTCCTATTGGGCGTCCCATTGGGCGATTGGGACGTCCCATGGGACTTGTGGAACGACCCATGGGATGCGCACGACAGCACAAGGGACACCTTCGGGTTTAGTTACGGTTGGGACACCCAGAGGACACGTCGAACGTCCCACGGGTTACCCATGGGGCGGCCCATGGTGCATTTGACGCCCCGTGGGGTGGGATCAGAACCCTTGCCACGCGTCCCAAGGGCGTCCCATGGGCCGTCCCCATGCGTCCCAGAGGTGGCCCATGGTACGGCCCATGGGATGGGACGCCTAGGGCTCTCGTGAACTCCCATATGTATTTCCTGGCTTGTGCTCTGTTCACGTTGTTTCTGTTGGGTCGTTGGTGTTGTTTGTCAATGCTGCACTCGTGCTGTGTTTCCGGCGTTGGTGTTAATTGTGATGCTGCTCGTCTTTCTGCCCGGCCCTGCTGCTTACGGCGCTTTGTGTGTCCTGTTTATGGCTGTCTGTTTCGGTTTCCGCTGCTTGTCCACGGCCGGCTGCTCGTGGTTCTCGTAAAGAAAATGACGTTGCCATGTGGCGTCGGGCCATATGCGGTACGCGGGAATGTTTGTTGGGCCCGAGCGTTGTTGGTACGCCCGTCGCACTTGCCACGTTGAAGCCCTCCTCTTCGGGGCGTACCAGCACAACAACGCGCTATTTCGGTATGCATGCCTCTCTCCTCTTGTGTAAGGTCTCCCCTTTAGCATCCACCCATCATCGGGGCGGGTTAACACCATCATCGGGGCGGGTAATCCGAGGACCATTGTCCTGTAAGCGGCGGTTCGTGGTTCCCGTTCCCGTGGCGTTTTTTGCTTTCTGTCGGCGGCATCCACCTTCCGCGTGTTTTGCTGAACACACGACAGCTGTACTTCCACCTTTGTGTCTGCCCCCCGCACCCCACAGCAGGACGGTTGTCGCCTCGCTGACAGGTACCCCCCCCTCGAGGACGCGTGGCCAATGGTCTAACAACCATGGCATGCAACACATGAGCACCCCCCCCCCCCCCCCCCCCCCCCCCCCCCCCCCCCCCCCCCCCCCCCCCCCCCCCCCCCCCCCCCCCCCCCC